AAATGAGCCCTGGTGGCATCGCCGGACTGGTGGACATTGGGCTGCTAACCACAGGGTCAGCAGTTCAACCCCACCAGCTGCTCCGAGGGAGAAAGTCTGCTCCTGTCAAAATGTACAGCCAAGGACTGCTACCTGTACAGGGCTGCTGTAAGTCAGAACCGACTCCATGGCTGTGGGCTTGCTGCTTGGGGATTGTTTAGGGGTAGTACAAACAGTGGGGCTATGTGAAACAAGTGGAGCTGTTCTCTTGGCTCATATTCCTAACCAGTTACTTCTGTAAGTACAAAACCATTTCCTTGTCCTCTTACCGAGAATCAGAAGGGTGATTCCATTGAAAACGGCACCGACGTAGGTCATCAGCCACATGAAGACAGCCAGCTGTGAAAGCCAAGGACCCAGGGAATCAAGCAAAATTCAGGCCAATTGATGGCACTCTTCTCTATTTAAACCTGTCTCACTAGTGTTGGGTGCCGTAAGTAAGTTCCTAAGGTTGGTCCCCCCACTAGCATTACACATTTGAGGGCAGGTAAGAGGGCCCTGTAGTTCACTGGTAATTACACTTCTGTCGATCACATATCCTTGGTCTCCTCTTAGTTCTCCAGCCGGAGGGCCTTCTCCATTGGTTCCCAGCCCCATAGTCTGATGGGCTGATTATGACAAGCATATGTTACGTTTTGTCCCATGCAGCCTACTTCCTGCTTGGCCTCTGAATTATAACCCAGCTGCAGTGTTCCAGCCTCACCACCGAAAGGTGCAGAAGCCACTCACCTTCAAGGAGTCAACCAGGTCTTCCACCAGAAAGAGGCGAATGATGAGCTTCAGGGCCTTGTTGACGTGCACCATAGCAGCGTTCACGTAGTTATGGAAAGCCTCTGAGGACAGAGTGATGTCCACATCCAGGTAGACTCTTTGGGAAGGAGAAACAGCGGTAAGGCAGCTGGCATCGAAGACTTCTTCCCAATGTGAACCTGACCAACTGCAGGGGTATTTCAGAAATTATCCTGGGGGTGGGGGAGTGGAGATACCACTGCCACTTAGTGTGCCAGGGTACAGATGTCCTCAAGCGTGAACAATTTGGAATCACTGGAGACTCACAGCAGGACAGTGGAAACCTAGGTGTATGTACTCACCAGGAGTCAGTCAGTCTCTCTCTCTCTCTCTCTCACACACACACACACACACACACACACACACACATACATGAGCGCACGCTCTGCTTTTGTTGAGACGTCGCTAAGACATCTCTCCCATGATTTTGAAACTGGCACTCATGGTTTATACGCATAGCTGCTGTGAGTCTCTGATTTCTTTATTATGCTTTTTGGTGTGGTCAAGTCCCAGCCATTATATAACGATGAAAAAAATATTATAAATGACTTTTGATACTTGTATACCTTTAAAATTAAGATCTATTTTTTGAAATTATGTTTGTGAGTAGATCATAGGAGCTACGAATTTCATGTTAGAAGGAGAAAAGAAGCCTTCCAAGTATTGGTTTAAAAAAGCAAAAAGGAGGGTGGGAATACGGAATTTGATGGGGCTGAAAACTACCGGGTCTTTCACCAAAATAAAGGTCAGACAGCACTTGGTTCTGCTCCAGGCGCACTGCAGGGCTGGTAATCAAGCACGTGCTCGCAGCTTGGTCGTTCACGCAGTCTTTATCAAGCGTCTGGAGGCGTATCACACACTCAGCTGGGTGATGGGAATGGCACTATGTAAGGTAGGCCTGCCTTTGCCTTCAGCTTTTTGTGGTCCGTCGGACACAGAGGATACCCACTTAAACTTTCCAGCATACTCTAAAAGTGGGAAAAGCTCTTCCCACTAAATCTCACAGTTGGAAATTTTAAGTGGGTACACTGTGTCCCATTGGCCACAGAGAGATGAATGTAAAGGCATAATGCCTAGTTAACTGTGTGATCTGAAGAGTGGAGCATCATCCCATTAACCCCAGAACCAGCGATGAATGTAAAGGCATAATGCCTAGTTAACTGTGTGATCTGAAGGGTGGAGCATCATCCCATTAACCCCAGAACCAGCGATGCCCAGGGCTCCAGGTATACCACCAACGCTCATAGAGATCCACAGTCCTTCAACAAAAGATGCACAGCAGAAAATACCTGAAGAGGAACAGGTAGGTTTTTTTTCTTTCTACTTGTTAGGAAAATATCTACCACCCAAAACAAAACTTTGGAGACTGAGATGCCTGTTGTTAATCCAATTTAGTGAAACTCATTTTATAAACCTGCAGTGGTGTTACTCCAAAAGAGGAGGGGGGAGAGGGGAGACCCACAAAAACTGTCAAAACATCTAAGGCTGTGGAAACAAACAAATCCCAACAAAATGCATTCACTCATTTATTTCACAACTGATGATTTGTTAAAACTAGTTTGAAAATACTTTAAAAATTCACTTTTTTTTTTGCTGAGAATATACACAGAACACACCAACCAATGCAGTACTTTGCACGTGTGCACCTCACCAGCACTCATGATAGTCTCACCCACCTTTTCTGAGTGGTTCCTCCCCTCACTAACACACTCACTGACCCCTAAGGTTTCTAGCTAATCATTCAGGTTGTTGTCAAATGGATTCCTTACAGGTTGACCTTAAACGACTATACATAATGCTGGGAATAGAGATACCAGGAGGGTAGAGAGAGGTTAGGGAGAAGAGGGGAGGAAGGGGGAACCAAATCGCAATGACTGACACATATCCTCCCCCCCTAGGGGGATGAATAACAGACATGAAAATAATAATAATTTATAATTTATCAAGGGGCCATGAGGGTAGGGAGGAAGTGGTAAAAAGAGGAGCTGATACCAAGGGCTCAAATACAAAGTAAACATTTAGAAAATAATGATGGCAACATATGTACAAATATGCTTGATACAATTGATATATGGATTGTTATAAGAGCTATAAGAATGATAAAAAGAGAGAGAGCATAATGCTCAAGACAGATATTGCTTACTAGCTAAGCTAACTACCATTTAGTTTTCAGAAGACTTCCAAGGATATTTTTGGTTTAACGTTTACAGATTGTCTCAGGGCAACAGTTTTAGGGGTTCGCCCAGTCTCTGTGGCTCCAGCAAGTCTCGAGTCCATGAGAATTGGAAGTTCTGTTCAGTTTGCAATCAAGCTTTAATATCACAGTATGGTTTAAAATTATTCCTTCTATTTTTACCAGGAGAAAATCTCAGAACTGGAGGGAGGGGAAAAAAACGAGGAACTGATGCCAGGGGTTTAGGTGGAGAGCAAATGTTTTGAGAATGATGAGGGCAATGAATGTACAAATGTGCTTTACACAATGTATGGATGTATGGATTGTGATGAGAGTTGTATGAGCCCCTCATAAAATGATTTTAAAAAAAAGAAAGAAAATCTCAGAACCAGAGCTGCAGCTCGATCATCTATTCTCCCATAACCCTGAGAGCCCACAGCAGATAGTTTAAACAAACCAAACCAAATCTTGCCATTACTTGGTTCAGATATTTAAAGGGGGAAAAAAAAAAAAGGCTAGACTGGATTCTAGAAAACCCAAGACCTACAGACTTCATCCAGGCCGGCCTCGGTCAATAAGAGACTGGTCATCACACGCAGATCACACAGAGTTCTGTCCCTGTGGGCCATGCCATTGCCAAGCCCGCGACTTCAACACCAGACATGGTGGTGCGATGTTATAAGCTGGGCTGCAAAGTGCAAGGCCAATAGCTGGAAACCACGAGGCACACTCCTTTCCACTCCTGTGAAGAGCTACAGCCTCAGACACCCACGGGGGCAGGTCTACTACCCTGTCCTATGGGGTTGCTATGAGTCAGCATTGACTTGATGGCAGTGAGTTTGGTTTTAGAGTTTTCAAGACTCAAATCCACGGGGACTTGGGACACTACTTAACGTAAGTGCTGTCCCAGACACTGTCCTTTCCTCACGCTGTTCAGTTCAGTCCTGTTTGGTCTTGACCTGAGTCTCTACTTTGGCTAAGGGGTCTTGGCTTGTATTCTGGTCGCCTCAGGGTCTGTGCCACCGGCCAGCTGCACTAGGCCCCATCATTCATGAGTCTTGGGACCATATCGGCCCCAGCAAAGCCTTTACCTGTGACAGTGCTGGTTGTTATCTGTGGCATTTGAACTTACTTGAATGGGTGGCCTTCTTCTGACTTCTGCACAGCTTGGATGACAGACTTGTAGACCCTGAAGCTGATGGTAACGGTGAGAAGAGCCAGGATGAGGTAAGAGATCACGCTGATGACACTGAAGGCGGCTAGGGACAGCAGCACAATCAGTGTGGTGCCAAAGACAACCCCGGTTTTCTTCACATCTCTCCAGAAAATCAGGTCGTGCACTGCAAAAGCAAACAAAGGGGGTCCTTTTTAAAGTACACTTTACCCAGTTCGCAATTATAAACCCCACCCAATAAGTAAATAAAGCACCCATAAGCTACAAGGTCAGGACTGCTCTCTGGTTCCGATTGGCAACCCTGTGAAGCACAAGATTGGCAGACAATGACAAGTGTACCCACTCCGGGAGCACCTGACATAGGAACATCAGATTCATTCATGAGTGGTGATTCATGCCAAAAGGGGCTCCCCAGCTGCACAGATTTGGCTCCAGGATGGATTTCCAAACACCTAAGAGCTTGTATTTTTAGGGGGTCCGGGGGGTCCACTACTCAAATACATTCGAGCAAAGCATCAAACATTTCAGTACAAAAGGTAAGGCAAGGAAGGCAAAATCTTGATAACCATTGGCTAAACTGAGCAAAGCAGACATAAATTAGTGGGGTCACCAGCATGTCTGATCAAAGCTAAGCTGAAACGGTCAACTGCAGAGGGGCTGGAAGCATGTAGAAAATAAACATAGACGGTGTCTAGAGCTAGTTATGACGACACTTCATGGGTAGGCTGACCACGTAATACCCAACCCTTAACACTTCTGAAGTTCTTGGGGGAGGCGACTCAGTAATAATATGCCAGAGTAAGGAGACATGATAATGAAATACAAAGGATGATCATGAACTGGACCGAGGGTACCAAAAACCAAACCAATTGCCGTAGAGTTGATGGGACTCACGGCACCCCTACAGGACAGATGACAGCTGTCCCTGTGGATTTCCAAGGCTATAATCCTGAAAGAAGCAAACTACCACGGTTTTCTTCTGTGGATCTTCTGGTGGACTTGAACCTTTAAATTAACAGTTACCAGTCAACCACTTAAACACCACGCAATCAGGGTACCTCCTTTTGATCTTGAGTAAGGGTGTTTAAATGGCTATAAAGAACATTATTGAGACAACTGGCACATTTAAATGTGGACTATAATGGATAAATGTGGCGTGTCAATGTTAAATTCCCTGTGACAAGTGTACTGTAGGTACATAAAACAAGCACCAGAGGAAGTTTCCACTTGAAGAAGAACAGCTCTGTCTTTCAGAGTAATGGGGCAGCTCTCTCTATAGGGGAGAGTGGCACAGTTACAGCACTTTGCTACTAATGGTTGTGGTTTGAGCTCACTGGCAGCTCCACGTAAGAAAAGACCTAGTGATGTGCTCCTGTGAAGTTTACAGGCTTGCAAACCCCGTGGGGCAGCTCCACTCTGTGCCACGGGGCCACACAGAGAGCCCACTCGATGGCAGTGGGTCTGGATGGAGAGGGGAACAGACTGCAATTGTGGCCAACTCCAGTGAGCTGAGTGGAGGCTATATGGAGTTTTTGAACTGAGCTAGAAAATCTTTTTGTTTTTTTAAGTTGGAAATATATGAAAACAGATAAAGAAAGAAAAGTTTACAGGACAAGGCATGGGGCCTAGAAATAAAATGGCCCCGATGTTTTAGAGAAGAAACAAGGGCTGAGAGAGTAGACTAAAGGCAAGTTAGAATTCTATCTTTGTGCAGATTAGGAAAAGCTACCTTGGCCTCATGACTCTGTACTGCCATCTGCTGGAAAAGTGTCATAAGAAATATTCAATGGTAACCCGTGCAAATGGTGCCCCCTCCAGGTGTGCAGTACTCTGGCTATATATACTCCCCTGCCACGGGCATATACTCCTAAGGGTGGAGTAGAGTGTGCCCTTGGGTGGCTGAGATCGCCCTCTCTTGCGGAGTGGTTAGTGCAGTGCTTCCCAAGGTGGGTGATGCCCGGGCCTAGGTGGCGCTGGAATGATCCGGGTGGGCTGCAAAAGCAGATACCCACACTTGATCCTGGATGACAGGCTATGGCATGAAAGCTCTGAAATGCTGGAGGCGGGGAGCTCTTGAGTCTTTCTCCCCACTCCCTCTGAAAGCTCTGAAATGCTGGAGGCGGGGAGCTCTTGAGTCTTTCTCCCCACTCCCTCTGAAGAGGGTAAGTTTGGGGACTGATGGGCTAGTGCGTCTGAATTGCTGGCCTGGCAATTACACTACTCCTTGTGTAATAGTAAAGGAAATGGTGGGATAGAAGAGGGATATGCACACTAACGATAACAGAGGGCGAGCTTCCGTGCATCAATGCTTTCCAGAGGTCTTGCTCACCTCACTCCTCTACACTCCCTCAAGATTCTGGGCACTCTGTACAAAGGTCAACCCTTTCATCATGCTCAGCACCCGCCCCTTCCCCTCCTGCTTCAGTGTGCGCCAAACCAAAGACCTAGAGCGGCATGCCACAGCTTTCACTTGTTTCCTTAAGGGCGCCTGGAGCCATCAGTTTTGCAGGGAATGCTGTATCAAGTGTGCTATGGCAGGCTAGGGGAGCCAAGAAAGGGGCACAGGCTTGGGACCTGTCATGTCTCTGATCCCCTGGGGAGACATGTTCATGGGGCCCTGCGGCAGATCCCAAGTGACAGAATCACAGCCTCGGAGGGTTTCCTAGGCTGTAGTCTTTACAGAGCGGCGTGCCAGGCCATTCCACAGGGCAGCTGATGGATGTGAACGGCCGACCTTCTGGTTAGCACCAACTCCTTAACCGCTGCACACCAAGACCTCTGGAGAAGACGGAGAAGGATGAAAGACTCAATAATAAAAATGTAGGCAATGAGGCAAGTTGCCCAATGTTTAAAGTGTGAAATGCAGATGTGGTTGGTGGGAGGGTGGGTGGGTGGTATTATTTCATAACCAGGGAAGCCCTGAGGGGGGGCATGACATTGCTTTGTGGTTCTCCTCCACTTTCACTGAGCGCCAACATGACCTAATGATGGTTGTGAAGATGATGGACCGGCGGCGTTTTGTGCTGTCGGACCCAGGGTGGCTGTGAGTCAGAGCAGACGTGCTGACACCCAACAACTTCCATCATGTGCTCCTGCTGCTTCAGTCAGCTCAGTACTTCTTACAGCAAGAAATGCCTTTGGAAGAACAACAAATGATAAACCTGAAGAGCTGAACCAACCAGGAAACAGAAGACACAAATTGCCAGGACTAGGAATGACCGATTCTACAGACAGACATTAAAAATCTCCCTGCCATCCAGTCGATCCTGACTCTGAATAGGTAATAAGGGACTATTATGAAAAATGCGATACTAATAGAGCAGATGACTTAGCTGGAGACAAGTCCTTAGAAAGTCACAAACTACCAAATTCCGTTAAGATAAGTAAACAGAATAAACCTCGATTTACTACAGAAATAAGGTGTATAGGTAAAAAGCTTTCCACACAGAAAACTCCTGGTCCAGATGGCCTCACAGAGGCATTCTGTCGAATAACACCTATTCTACAACCACTGCTTCTTCCAGAAAAGGAGGCTGAGTTAGACTGACTCTAAAACTAGGCAAAACATTGCAAGACAGGACAGCTAGAGACTGCTATCATTAAAGATCACTAGCACTCATGGATGTAGACTAGAAACTTAACAAAAATATGGCAAATTAAATTCCACAACATATAAAAAAGATTAACACATCCTTACCAAGTGGGTTTTTTCCATGAATATAAGACTGATTTAATGTTTGAAAAATCAGCCAATATAACCTACTATCGTAACACACTGAAAAAGAACAATACAGTCATCTCACCGACGCAGAGCAAGCACTTACCAAAACCCCTACATAAGTCACTGCCATGGATTCGGTGCTGACTCAGCGACCCTCAGGACAGGGTGGACCTGCTCCTGTGACAGTCCTGAGACTGTCACTCTGTACGGCAGTGGTTCTCAGCCTTCCTCATGCTGCGACCCTTTCACACAGTTCCTCATGTTGTGGTGACCCCCCCCCCAACCACAAAAATATTTTCTTTGCTACCTCAATACTGTAATTTTGCTATTGTTACGAATTGAGTGACTCCTGTGAAAGGGTCGTTCGACCCTAAAAGGATTGAGACCCACAGGTTGAGAACCACTGGTTTACGGGAATAGAAAGCTGTCTTTCTCCCGAGGAGGGGCTGGTGGTTTCGAACTACCGACCTGCAGTTAGCAGCCCAATGTGTAACCACTACATCACAAGGGATCCTAACGGTATGTTTTTAAAAGAAATATAAAATCCAATTTAACAAGAAAACAAACAATTTAATAAAAATTGGATAGACACCTCACCAGAGATAAGTGGATGGCAGGCAAACGCATGAAAAAATGCCCAACCACTAGCCACTAGGAAAATGAAAACTGAAACCACAATGAGATAGCAAGGTGCACCTAGTAGAATGTCTACAATTAGAAGGAGGGACTATAGTAAGTGCTGGCAGGGATATGGAGGAACCAGAATTCTCATGGCTGGCTAGCAGGAATGTACCATGATGTAAGCCACTTTAGAAAAGGCGACTGCTTAAAACAGTTAAATATAATCATCAGTTATATGATCCAGCAAGCTCACACTGAACTATTTGTCCAACAGAAAACAATACCTGTCTATGTAAAGACCTGAATGTTCATAGCAACTTCACTTGTAATCGTCCCAACCTGGAAACTATGCAAATGCTCACCAATAAACCAGATACATCAGAATACTACTAAGCAAAACAATTCACTCAACACACAATCAGTAATATAATCAGCACGGATCAAGCTCAAAAGGATTAGGTGGTATCAAAGAGGCCAAGTTCCTCGCCCCACCCCCCAACAAAAAAGGAACCGAGAACCAATGGGCTAACCGACTATAACACAACACATGACCTTAGAGACAGAATGGAGCTTGGGGGAGCCCCTTCTAAAAGGCCTAAGATCGACTGACCCACAAAAGTTGGATGGGGCATGGGAACGTGAAAAGCTCGTGAGTTAATTTCCAGGTCATTCCTTAATATCACACACATGCGTTAATATGTTACTACCAGATGGTCTACAATGTCTCTTAATTTGAAAGAGACTTATACTATACCCCCTCCCCCTTTCTGGTATAAGCCTCCATGCATTTTTCTTCCCCTCTTTTACCAAATAGGATCTTTCTA